GTGGAGCAGGGTCATGAGAGAAACATGTAAAGAAGGCAGAGAGCAAAGGCATGAAGGAGCAGAAACTGACCAGTGTCTATTAGCAATAGGTAGAGGCAAAAGTGAAATCAAACACAAAAGAAGCTGAGATGAGAAAGAATTGCTTTAATTCCTTTTGGACAACTAGAGCTGCTGTGGACCTTGGTGGCTTAGCTCTCAGCTATCCATTGGGTTTCCTGGGCTCTCAATTATCCTTGTACCTGTAGGGTAAACCTCCACTGCCCACAGTAACTTATTCCTTAAAACCTAAAGGGGCCTCACAGACGGTTCTGGAAATTGGCATTCCTGTGTAAAGTAAAAACTTTCTAAAGTATTTTGCCAAAAAACAGCAAGGAACATTCATTGGTTTATAGTTTTACATGCTTGATTGCACTAATATTCTCTGACGGATTGAGTTAGCATGGCAAGACTTAGTTCATCTATTATTTGGGTTATTTATTCATTTGACAAACATGGAAACATTACATGCCTACTATGTGAAGGACACTACATTCTGCCCTGCCTCCGTTTTATTTTCAGCGTATATCTTTTCAGATTTATTTTTCAAAAGAGATTATAGTTCTATGATCTTTATTTTTGCTATTTTCATAATTGAGCACTTCATTGTTTGAAGGGTAGAGGGTACATTCTGTTTCTTTGGTACCAATAATTGTTACCATTGAGCAGGCCCTATGTAATGCATTTTGCAACATTCTCTCATTTACTTCTCTCAAAAATCCTGTAAAATGGAAATGATAAAAATGTAAGGCTTTAAGAGCACTGAATAACTTGTCTAGGATCATGGACTAGTTAGTAGCAAAGCTGCAGCTGGAGCTCAAAACTCTGACTCTAAAGCTCATGCTCTTAACCACTGCACAGTATATCTGCTCTTTCAGTCAGAAAATAAATGAATAATGGAAACCAAATTATTTCTTCCTTAAAATTCTCCTTGTGGTTTAGGTGCAGAACTAACATGACCCCCTCCACAGAGTCTTTGCTGATAACTGCCCCTCTCCCTGTGCTTCCCATTCTTCCTCCAGTTGAAGGAAACCTAATGTTTTATACCCTTACATCTTTCTGAATTCTGTAGCACTTTGGATCAGAGACCATCAGTCCTTCATTTGGTATCTCCCTGAAGCACCTAGTACAAAATCTTGCATGTAGAGTTGGTGCTTGATCTTGTATAAGTAAAGAATGAATTATTTCCTTGTCTTTAGCAATCCAGGAGGCTTGGATAGTTCTGTGCTGCGCCTGCTTTTGTGCTTTAAATAAAGTAAAATGAAATAGTTATGAGCAGATACTCTTTTGTGTCTTTGTATTTGAAATCTGCTATCAAAGCATATGGTTGGGTTTTGTTGTTAATCCAGACTGACAGTCTCTGCTTTTTAATTGGATGGTTTAGTCCATTTACATTTGATGTAATTATTGATATGGCTGGATTTGACTACCATTTTGCTGTTTTCTATTTGTCTTGCTGGGGTTTTTTGTTTGTTTCTCTGTTTTTTCTTTATTGCAAGTTATAAACCTTACAATATTGTTGAGTAATTTCTGCTGTAGGCAGTCTTAACCTTTTTTTAAGTACTTTTTTGTTTTACTCACTTATTTAACATTTTCAGTGCTCTTTACATCTGAGAGTTACCATCTAAGTGTCAATTCCTTTTAGCTTTCAGAATTTTTGTTAGCATGCATTGTAGTGCAGGTCTGCTAGTGATGAATTCTTTCAGCCATTGTGTTTCAAAATATCTTTATTTCATCTTCATTTTTGAACTTTTGCTGGTTAGGGAATTATACTGGTAGACGAAAAATTTTTTTTCTTTCAGCATTTGAAGATGTTCCGTTGTCTTCTGGCCTCCATTATTTCTGTTCAGAAATTGGTTGTAGTTAGTATCAGTGCACTATATGTAATATATATCTATGTGTGTGTATATATATATATATATTTTTTTCCCTCACTGCCTTCAAGATTTTTCTCTTTTCTTTACATTAGCAGTTTGACTGTGATTTGCCTCGCAATTTTTTTTTTTTTAAGTTATCCTGGTTGGCATTTATTGAGCTTCTTGGATCTGTAAGTTGATGTCTTTCTACAGTTTTGGGCCATTGTTTTTTTCAGATTTTTTTTTTTTTTTTAGATGGAGTTTTGCTCTTGTTTCCCAGGCTGGAGTGCAATGGCGTGATCTCAACTCACTGCAACCTCTGCCTTCTGGGTTCAAGCGATTCTCCTGCCTCAGCCTCCCAAGTAGCTGGGATTACAGGCATGTTTTACAGTGGTTAGATACACATAATGTAAAACTCATCGTCTTACCCATTAAAATGTATAGCTCAGTGATACTAAGCACATTCATATTGCTGTGCAACCATCACCACCATCCATCTCCACAAAGCTTTTTCATCCTGCAAAACTGAAATTCTGTATATTTGGCTGTTGTTATTAGTTTCTGTTTCTCTATTGATCTTGTCTTTATTCCTTATTCAGATATTTTCCTTTAAGTGCCATAAAGTTCCTCTCTGCTAAATTGCATCACTGGGTTATCTTGGTGTTGGTTTCTATAGATTGCTTTTTTCTTGAGTACGGGTCACATTTTCTTGTTTCTTAGCATGACTAGTGATTTTTGATCGAACACTGGACATTATGAATGACGTAGAGATTCTAGATTCTGTTATGATCTTCAGAAGGGTATTTTTTTTCCTTGGCATATAGTTAGTATGGCAAGATTTAAGCTCAGCTCTAAACTCCTATCTCCACTGCATTAGCCGTAGTTGAAATCTCCATGCAGTTCTTTCAATTTCCAGTTGTTACTTTGTGCTGGCCCCCTTGGGTTCTCCAGCCAAGGATCTGAACATATATTTAGTTGCCGATTTGGGAGTTTCACCCCCTATGTGGCTCCCTCCCTTTCAAGGTTTCGTCTGAACTTTCTGGCTGCCCTTCCAGCCCTGAACTTTGTCCCTGTCACTCTGAACCATGCCTTATAGGGATTGGCATGTATTCTTAGGCAAAAAGCTACAGATGTATAAATCTCACCAAGTACAGTTCTCTTTCAAGGGTAGCCTCTCTTTCAATTTCTACCTGCTTTTGATCATTCTCTTAGTGCCTTCAAATAATTTAAAATATGTTGTCCAAAGTTTATAATTGTTTTCTGTGGAAGGGTGATGTGACACTGCTAGTCTGTCACTGTTGGAAGCCAGATGCCAAGCAGATACCTTTTGGGGCCTATGTTCAGATGCTTCCCTTGTTCTCAGCCTTGTGCAAACCTGGGCTGTGGAGGAAATAGGGCTTCTTCTCAGGGAGCTCCATTTTCAGCTGAGGAGCAGAGAGGGCACAGGGAACCCTGTGGGAGTATCTTAGTCAGCTTGGACTGCTGTAACAAAATGCCACAGATGAGTAGCATAAACAATAGAAATTTATTTCTCACAGTTCTGGAAGCGAGAAGTCCAATATCAAGGTGCCAGCAGGGTTGATTTCTGGCGAGGCCTCTCTCTTTGGCTTGCAGACAGCTGCCTTCTCATTGTGTCCTCACTTGAACTTTTTTCCTGTGTGCTTGTGCTCCTAGTGTCTCCTCCTCTTATAAGGATTCTGGTCCTGTTGGATCAGGCCTCATCCTTATGGCCACATTTAACCTTAATTATATCCATGAAGGCCCTGTCTCTAAATATAGTCACACTGAGGGTTAGGGCTTCAACCTGAATTTGAGGGTGGGGGATACAGTTTTGCCCATAACAGAGATTAATCTAGCTTCTAGTCTCAGGATTTTGTGAGGGAGGTAGGGGAGACAGAGTTGTGTTGTACCAGTGGCATCAGGACATGTTTAAACAGTCACCATGTAAATGCAGAATGTTCCAGGCATAGCATGAAGGGCTAAGGATTCAGTTATGGGTAAGACTGGCCCCATCCCTGCCCTCATGGAACTCACAGCCTAGGGGGAGAAAAAGATGTATAGACATGACATTGCAGAGTGATGAAGTAGGGGACATTCAGGAAGAGGTGCCCAAATAAAGGTTAGGGGTCAGGAGAGGCTTTTTCAAGAAAATGTCTTTCTTTCTTTTTTTTTTTTTTTTGAGACAGAGTTTCGCTCTTGTTGCCCAGGCTAGAGTGCAATGGCACGATCTTGGCTCACTGCAACCTCCGCCTCCTGGGTTCAAGCGATTCTACTGCCTCAGCCTCTTGAGTAGCTGGGATTACAGGCATGTGCCACCATGCTCAGCTAATTTTGTATTTTTAGTAGAGACGGGGTTTCACCGTGTTGGTCAGGTTGGTCTTGAACTCCTGACCTCAGGTGATCCGCCCGCCTCGGCCTCCAAAGTGTTGGGATTACAGGCGTGAGCCACTGCGCCTGGCCTATAAAATGTCTTTCTAAATTAAAATGCTTCCATGGAAGGATAGCGTGACCAAGCTACTCTGTCACTGTTGGAAGCCAGATGCCAAGCAAAAAGCTTTCGGGGCTTAGGATGAGTGAGGCGTCAGCTGTGGAAGAAAAGAAAATCAAGCAGAGGGAATGGTAAATGTGAGAGGCTCCCGGGTTGAGCAGGGCACGCCAGAAGAACAGAAAGTCGATGAGGAGAGGTGGAGCTGGGAGAATTGGGGAAGTGGAGTGGTGAGGGATAAGGCCAGAGAGGTAGGCTGTTGGATTGTAACTGCCTATCCTTCTAGAGAGTAAACTCCTTTTTTCTGTTCTGTTTGTTTTTTGCTTGTTTTTTTAAAATTTTTATTTATTTTTTTATCTTTTATCTTTTTTCTTTTGAGAGTAAACTCCTTAAAGACAATGAATAAATCTCCTTCAGCTTGGTGTCCTCTGCCTGGCAGAGAAGCTGTGTAGTAAATGTTTACAGGTGCCCTTTGTTAGGATTTGTGGGGTGAGGTGGAAAGGTTGGGCGTGCAGGTGACCTCACCTCCTTGGTGAGGTAGGCAAGGGCCTGGAGGTTGCTGACCATCTCTGGCTGTACCTTGTCCCTGTGTCCTGGGTCACGTGGTGTTTTGTTGTTGTCAGGCCTGGACAGCGAGTCTGCCTCCAGCAGCATCCGCTTCAGCAAGGCCTGCCTGAAGAACGTCTTCTCGGTCCTGCTCATCTTCATCTACCTGCTGCTCATGGCTGTGGCCGTCTTCCTGGTCTACCAGACCATCACAGACTTTCGTGAGAAACTCAAGCACCCTGTCATGTCTGTGTCTTACAAGGAAGTGGATCGCTATGATGCCCCAGGTAGAGCCTGCCCCTGGGCCAGGCATCAGGGCCCCAGATCTAGGGTGTCGGCTGGCAGATACTCCCTGAGCTGCCATTGTACTTGTGGCACTATGGGCAAGGCAGAGGAATCCAACCAAGCATAGTCTAGGTATAGCGTCTACACCCAAAGAGCTGCTATTGGGAGTGTGGTACGTGCTGAGGAGAGAAATGAACAGAGCCTAGAGTAGCTATTGCAGGCTACTAGAGGGGTCAGGGAAAGCTTGACAGAGAGGTAGGATTTGAGCTGGGCCTTGAAAAGCACATAGATGGGAAGAGAGTGTCTTTGGGATGGGGATCAGCAGAGCGAAGGGGTGTCTAGGGAGGCAGAGGGCTTCTCTGGAGAGGATGAGACTAACTTGGCTGGGGCCAGAGGGCAGGGATGAGGAGAAGCAGGAGTCAAGGCTGGACTGTGGGGTGGGGAGGGTGATAGGAGAGGTGAGACCATTCAAGGTAGACAGGAACCCTGCCTGGAGAGGGACTCCCAGGCCACACTGGGTATACCTGTCCCACTGGGGTGTCTGGTCCCTGAGTGGGAGTCCGCTCTGCTACAGAGCAGGCTGTCTGCTCTGGGCTACAGGCTGGCACTGGATGCTCTGGGGGCTGTAGAGTAAATGAGGAGGCATGAGCTGTGTGACTTTGGCCCTGTCTACCCAGTGTGTGCCACCTGCTCTGTCCACAGATGCCCCTGAGTGACCTGCGGGAGGGCCTGCTCACATGGCAGAGTCAGAGTCCAGGTGCCTTCTCTCTGGGGCTTCCTGCCAGCCTCCAGCAGAGTCAGTTGTGCTGGTCATGGCTCCTCTGCCCATCTCTTCCTGTCTTGTGTTTGTCCCTCTTCTCTGTGTGTCTGCTTGAGTCTTCTTTATCTGTAGGTTTTACTTTCTCTGTCTGGTCTCTTAGTCTCTCTGAAGTCTGTCTCTGATACCGTGTGCTGCCGTCTTAGCATTGCTGCCCTTGAGGCTGGACAGCTACTGTCCGTAGAGGTGCCTGGGCTGGGAAGAGGGAGGGACTCTTGGGATGTGACTCGCACACTTGGGGCTCCCAGTCTAAGAGACAAAATGAGTTCTGAGGAATTCCACAGCTTAGAGCCTCCCAGCGATTCTGCAGGTGGGTGTTGGCCCAGAGGGATGGCACAGCGGGGCTGAGTCAAGAGACACTCCCTCGGAGGGTGTGGAGCGAGGCTCTGAGGGGGACTGGGTTTTGATGTGGGCATCAGGGTGGCTGGATCCCAGGTTGGCCAGGGGCTTACTGAGGAGGGGCTTGTGCCCTCTGCTAGAGCGGGGCTTTCTGATGCCAGGGGATGTGGCTCCTCACCCTCTGAAACCCTTTTCTTCTCTCTTCCCTGCAGTCATCCAGGAAGTCCAGAACATAGGTTGTTGGTAGATGTGAGATGATTTCAGGGATGTGGTCAGGACTGTGATTTCTGACACTTGCTTTTCCTGTTTGTGCCTCCAGGTATTGCCCTGTATCCCGGTCAGGCCCAGTTGCTCAGCTGTAAGCACCATTATGAGGTCATTCCTCCTCTGACAAGCCCTGGCCAGCCGGGTGACATGAATTGTACCACCCAGAGGATCAACTACACGGACCCCTTCTCCAATCAGACTGTGGTAATTCCTGTCTGCCTGAGCTGGGTCTGGGCAGCTGCTCCGTTAGTCCCACACCCCTTCTTCCACTCACTCAGTGTGGGGCCTCGGTCCCCAAGCAGACATGCGGCTGTGCCACGTGGACACTTGGCTGTGGTTGGCTCGTTTGCATTCAGGGAGGACAGTGAGGCCTCCAGCCTTTGCTGAGTGATGCTCAGGGATTCCTGACAGTGCGGTGAGACCCTGTCCCCGATGGAAGAATGACAGGGCTAAAGGGTGGGGCTGGTGGGATATAGCGAAGTGGGTCCCATACCTGACCGCTTGACAGAATTGCCAGGATACTTTTTGAAAATACAAATTTCCAGGTTCCACGTGAAGCCAACCGAATTATAATTCCTTAGGTGGGGCCTGGGAATCCGTAGTTTGAAATAAATATGCCAGCGTAAAGGAGTGCTGGTCTGGGGACAACGACTCCTGGGCCCTGGCCTGGCCGTATTGTCATATACAACAGCACGGCTGGGAAGGATGACTAAGGAATGGGGTTCGGAGTGCCCTGGAGGAGTGGCACTGCACAGGGTTTCAAAGGCAGGGTAGGCGTTTTTGATTTACATCTCATTTCCTTGCTTCAGAAAGGATTGAAAGGGGCTACAATAAAGTTTTCCAGATGAAATTGGGAAGGAAAGGTTTTCTAGGCAGAGGAAATTGCACCATGACCTAAAGGGAAGAGACAACATGTTGTACTTGCGCCTCTGGGCACAACTGCAGTTGGTGGGGAGATGTTTCATAGGGTCAGGAGCGCTGGAAGACTAATGGGTGATGAAGCTGTGGACAGAGTAATGGCCAGATGAGAAAAGAACATGCATCGTGCTGTAGAGCCTCACTTGCTCCCTTGGGTAACAGGGAACTGTTAGTGGGTTTTAAGATGAAAGAATCGCACTAATATTTTTTCGTTAGTATGTGTACGCTAGGCCCCCTCCTAAAATTCTGCTGAAATGATTCTGTAAGGAACGAGCTAAAACGGACTAGAACATCAATAATAGCTTTGCACATAAAGAAAGGATATCACCAGTGGACCAGACATTTTGAGGAACTGGTATAAAGTATGAAAAAGAGCTTGGGCCAGATTGGTGGAGCAAAGAAATTAGAGAAAACCCTAACCCAAAAGAGATGCAGGAGAGACCTGCTGGAGAGGTACAAGCCTTCCTGCCAAACCCCCAGCTTGGAATCAGCGCTGTTAGAAAGCAGGGTAGTCATTACTGGACTGCCTGTTGGCTGGGCCAGACACACCCTATACCCTCCCCAGGTATGCAGAGCCGCTGGGGATGGTTGCTTCTGGGTAAAAGACCCTAGAACCATTCTCTACAGAAGCTAAGGGAAGATTCTTTGCTTAGGCATAGGAAACAGAGCAGACTTCTACAATGGAAAAGGAGAGAGAACTAAAGGAAAGGACTCTTCCCAGAGTAAAACACACTGGAATACTCAGTGTGCTTCCACAGAGCATACTTAGCTTTCCCATGCAAGGGAGAGGCCTATTAGAGAAACAGAAATTTACTACTTTGGAAGAAATCAAAACCCAGACCTATACTAGTCAACCTAATCCTTCATTCATAAATAAGAATGGAGAATTAATGGTCACTAGACATTTGCATGAAACCAATGACAGAAAAAGACCAAGATGGACAAATAGAATGGACTCTAGAATAGGGAAATGGAAGCTAATTAAAACAAAAAGGAAAACAACTTTTAAACAATTCCAATGTGGAGTTATATGTATAATAGAAGCTCTCTGTCTGGATTCCCAACTCCCTTCATCCCTCTGTAAAACACGCTAATGAACACTCGTGGCTGCTTCCGGCCCACCAAGTGCCTGTTCTCTGGATGCCCTCTTCTCCTCCCGCAGTTGAAGGGTACGCTTACGAGGAGTTAGTGAGGGTCAATTCCAAACCCGTGTAGGCCAGTTGCACTTGTTACAATCGTTACATGATTCGACTAAATAGTGTAAAAACCCTTGAAATAGGGGCACAAAGAGAGAGTTGTTTTTATGGAAATGAAGTTGAATACAGCTACTAGCCCCCGGCTCTGAGTGATGGTTCGTCTCCTCCATCAATTCCTTGAAGTCCACAAGCTGTAAACTAACAGAGAAGTTATCTCCTCCCCATCCACCAAGTTTCCTACCCAAACCAGCGTATAGCAGTGGAGGAAGAACACGATGAGAGCAGTGGAGCTCCCGTTTGGAAAAGGACGAAGGGGAAGGGCCCGCAGCTCTGCTCTGCAGCAGTGCTGGAACCCTGCGGGGTGGGACCCGTGAGACGCCTTCTTGGCGTGAAGTAAGCTCCTTGGTTTGAACCTGTTGCTGCCCTCAGAAAGAGACTCCTATGTGCTCTGGCCTTGTCCCTGGAACTTCTGCCTTGGTGGTAATGCTCTGTGGCCATATCTGAAGTGGATATTAGAAAATACGCCCTCCCTGGTGGCTGCACAGCTTGTGCCACTCACTTCCTGATTGTGTGAGTGGCTTTAGGGCTAAACAATCACAAACTGGGAGGGTGGCTTCTTACCCGCCTCCTCCTCCCATTGCCTTTGTTTGCAGTGAGATTTCAGAAACTGTAGGCTTCTGGCTGTTCGCATCTAATTAAGTCCATGTGAAAGTGACCCTAGTCGAGGGTCTCATCCTGTTATATTTGTAACATCTTCGGAATTTTGTGATTTTCTGGTGCTTTCTTTCATGCTCTCAATTTAATGGTAGTTATTTTTTATCAAATGCTCTGTCTGGCACAATAAGGTTTGCCACCTTTCCAGCCTGCGGGATCCTTATCTATTTCCTTACTGCCCGCCATTTTCCCACCGCCCAAATGTTTGGCTGATGCCTCATTTTTAGATTTTTTTGCAACCATGAAACATTCCAGTGTCAGTTAACAAATTGTGTATTAGTCAGAGTATAAGCTAAGCTACCGAATAAAAACAAAACCTGCAAATACGGTGGCTGAGATGAGGGAGAAGTTTCCTCCTCTCTTTGAGAACAGTCCTGGCATGCAGGCTGTGTGTGGCATAGTGGCCAGTGCTGCCTCATAGGATGGTCCAGCCATGACTTTTGTCTTGTCACTGTGCTGTCCCCTGGGCATTGTTCTGGTCCATGTGGGCAGTGTGTGTGTATGTGTGTGTGTGTGTGTGTGTGTGTGCGCGCGCGCGCGCATGCACATGCCCACGCCTGGGAAGGTGAGAAGTGGAGGGCAAGCAGTTCCCTTTTCAGGAAATGGCGTGGAGTTGAATGAGTCTCCTTTTCTTCCACACATTAGGAACTTCATCACATGGCTACATTTGAGGGCAGAGATGAGGCTCCAGCAGGGGGAGTGGATTCTGCTGAAACCTGGATTGGGAAAGCCGTTCTAGTACTAAAGGAAGAAATGGGGCTGGGCGCGGTGGCTCAAGCTTGTAATCCCAGCACTTTGGGAGGCTGAGACGGGTGGATCACGAGGTCAGGAGTTCGAGACCATCCTGGCTAACACGGTGAAACCCCGGCTCTACTAAAAAGACAAAAAACTAGCCGGGCGAGGTGGCGGGCGCCTGTAGTCCCAGCTACTCGGGAGGCTGAGGCAGGAGAATGGCGTGAACCCGGGAGGCGGAGCTTGCAATGAGCTGAGATCCGGCCACTGCACTCCAGCCTGGGCGACACAGCGAGACTCCGTCTCAAAAAAAAAAAAAGAAATGGATAATAGAAACCAGGGACAGTGCTCTCTGTTGCATACTTAAAACGAAATGGCACAGAAAGGTTGAAAAATAAGTAAGATGGACAAAGCTGTCTTTGGAAAATGCAACGAAGACCAGAAGTGGCAATATTAATAGTCAGTGTGGAATTCCATATGAGTTGATGTAAAAGACATTTTTTTCTAAAGTTAATCTACAAATTCAGTTTCCATCACAGTTAAAAGTCCCAGTGGATTTTTTTTGTGGAACTAAGCAAGCTAGTTTTAAAGTGTACTTAGGGGAACACGTGTTCAAAAATAACCAAGACAAGTTTGGGGATGGGGAAGACTAGTGGGGAGGGCACCGGCCCAGATCTGGGAACAGTGGAAAACCACAGGAATCAAAGCAGCATAGTACTGGACAGAGACAGACAAATGTGTGGGCTCTGCTAGGGCCAGGAGCAGACACAGATGTTGGTTCTATATTGAATTTAGTATAGGATAAAGCAGGGAGGGGAAGAGGCTTTAAAACCTGTCTCTATGCATTGTTTGGGAAGTAGGAGTTAGAGCCCTATTTCACACTATATGCAGAGCTTAAAGCCAGATATATAAAGTATGTAAATGTAAAAAAGGTTAAAAAATGCTATAAAGAAATAGAGGAGAATATTGATATAATTTTGGCTTTCGTCAGCAAGCAAAACCCAAAGCTATAAAGAAAAGGTTTCTTTATGGTTTACAGGTTTATAAGTTTCCCTATAGTGCCTTCCCTACCAGTCTTCGCCATCCCCAAACTTGTCTTGGTTATTTTTGAACACGTGTTCTTCTAAGTATGCTTTAAAACTAGCTTGCTTAGTTCCACAAAAAAAATTCATTGGGACTTTTAACTGTGATGGAAACTGAATTTATAGATTAACTTTAGAAAAAAAGGTTCATAGGTTTCACTACATTAAATTTAAAGTTTCCATAGGACAAGTGACATTGGAAACAAAGTTGAGAGAAAAATGACAGACTGGAAGAAAAGATTGGCACACGTAACAGATGAAAGTGAACATCCTTGCTAAATTAAGGGCTTCCATAACTCAAACAACCAATGAGAAAAGTGGACAGAGAATGAGCTGCATTCAGCTCTGGTCGGGCATCATGTGGGGGAAGCTCCCCAGGAATGAGCATGAGTCCCAGCCCGGGCCTGTTCTCGCCTGAACAGGAGGGTCTGGCTAGTGGTCCCTTTGGAGACCACTGGGCGAGGAGCTATGGGCTTTCCAGTCAGTGCTTCTGCCCTCAGACCCAGAGACCTCTGTGTGCTCTCCCAGGACTGAGACTCTGTCCTTTGTCTCTCTGCAGAAATCTGCCCTGATTGTCCAGGGGCCCCGGGAAGTGAAAAAGCGGGAGCTGGTCTTCCTCCAGTTCCGCCTGAACAACAGTAGTGAGGACTTCAGCGCCATTGATTACCTCCTCTTCTCTTCTTTCCAGGAGTTCCTGCAAAGGTGGCCTTTTAGAGTTCACAGTGGGCTTACTGTCTACTTTTGATCTCATTCCAGCCATGTACATCCCTGGGCTAGAGATGGAGGGCTGAGGGCAGGGAAGGGAAGGGACATTCCCCGATGACCCATTGGCCCAGGAAGGGACCTCATGAGCTCGGCTGGTCCACTCAACGTCTTATCACAAAGTTAAGCGAAGCTGGTGTGGAGGAGCACGCTGGCTGTCCATGCACATAGTGCTGACTGGTTCTGGAGAGATCGTTTGGTCTCGCCATTGCCTGGGGCTGCTGAGGAGTAGGGGAAGTTGCCTTTGATTTGTAAGTCCTCTTGAGGGCAAGTTCTTGTGTGGTTCCTTGGTTCCACTCCCCACCCCTCCAGTGTGCACAGGACCCACGTCTTGCCCCTAGGGCTCAGTGTGTGTTTGCCTGAAATACAGTTGGCCCTTGAACAACTTGGGGTTTGGGGTGACCAAACTTAACCACTCCTGCCTGTGCAGCCAAAAATTTGTGGATAACTTTTGACTCCCCCAAAACCTAATTACTAACAGCCTACTGTTGACAGAAGCCTTACCAATAACATAAACCACACATATTTTGTGGTTATATATATCATAGACTATATTCTTATAAAGTAAACTAGAGAAAAGAAAATGTTATTAAGAAAATCATGGCCAGGTGTGGTGGCTCACATCTGTAATCCTAGCACTTTGGGAGGCCGAGGTGGGCGGATCACAGGGTCAGGAGATCGAGACCATCCTGGCTAACATGGTGAAACCCCATCTCTACTAAAAATACAAAAAATTAGCCGGGTGTGGTAGCATGCACCCGTAGTCCCAGCTACTCAGGAGGCTGAGGCAGGATAATCGATTGAACCCAGGAGGCGGAGGTTGCAGTGAGCCTAGATTGCACCACTGCACTCCAGCCTGGGCAACAGAGCGAGACTCCGTCTCAAAAAAAAAAAAAAAAAGGAAGAGAAAATATACTTACTCTTCATTAAGTGGAAGTGATCATTGTAAAGGCCTTCATCCTCGTCGCCTTCATGTTGAGTAGGCTGAGGAGGACGGGGGTTGGTCTTGCTGTCTCAGGAGTGGCGGAGGCGGAAGAAAATACGTGTGTGAATGGACCCGCTCAGCTCAAACCTGTGTTGTTTAAGGGTCTACTGCATCTCTAGTATGATGATGGAAGCTCCGCCACCTCTCTTAGTCTTTGATTTACAGGGATGAATGTCCCCTGACCATCAGAAAGTTCCTGTCTGCTCCACACACACTGCTTTGGGGTCACACCGTGGAGCCTAGAGGGCAGGAGAATTTTCTTCATGTGCCTGAGCTGAGAGAGACTCAGTTACTGGTCCGGCTGACCACAGAGGCTCCATTCAGAGCAAGCGGGGAGGCAGCTACCAAGGCAGGGAGGCTGCTCCCCAGTGGACGTGCAGCGAGCTGCCTCCATTCCACACCACTACTGCTTTGTTCTTCCACCCCAGAGCCTCTGCCTTAGCATTTTCCACCCTTTCTGCCACCTAGAATTCCTCCCTTCCCTGCTTCAAGCTGGCCATCTTGCCTTCCTCCTGGAAGACTTCCCCCGGGATCCCCCCCACTCCACACTCCTTTTGTGAGCTTCCTCAGGACGCTGCTGCAGTTTTTACTTGTTTTTACGTTCGCTTTGATTTTGCTGCATCTGCACTGTCTTGGGGCTGATGCTGTAGGTGTCCCACCTGGCTGAGAGCTCCCCAAGGAACCCTCTTCCCCTCTTTGGGCTTTCCAGAGGGAGCTGGCAGGCCAGTGAGGGCTTCCTCAGGCTCTGCTCAAGTCCAGAGTTCTCTGAGGAGCCGTGAGCGCCGTGTTCTGAGGAGCTTCTGCCAACTTCATTGCCGACAGCTTTGGTAGCAGTAGGTAGGAATGATGGGAGGAGGGAGGAGGATTTCTCCCACTGGGAGCTTCAGGGATCATGTTCCTGCTTTGAGGCCAGTGACAACTCCCCCTGCATTTGGAAACCAAACGGAGAGAAAACTGGGATGGGCCTTGCTTTTGCTGGTGACTGACAGCCATGCTGAGGCAACCACAGTTTGGAGAGGAGGCAGGGAGTGGGCAGCATCCTGGTTGTGCCAGCAAGGAAACCAGCTTGCAGTGGGGGCTCCGACTCCTGCTGCCAGACCTGGATTGACGTGGATCTTCCTTCTCCTTCCTTCCTCCAAGCCCAAACAGGGTAGGCTTCATGCAGGCCTGTGAGAGTGCCTATTCCAGCTGGAAGTTCTCTGGGGGCTTCCGCACCTGGGTCAAGATGTCACTGGTGAAGACCAAGGAGGAGGATGGGCGGGAAGCAGTGGAGTTCCGGCAGGAGGTAGGTGGCTCTGGGTTTGCTCGAAGCTGCTGGTGACTTTTCCACATTCAAGTCTGAGGTGGAGGGAAGCTTTGCAGAGAAGGGTCCTTTGAGCAGGGCCTTAAGGGTGAGTAGGCCTTGGTCAAGATGAGAAGGGACCCCCATGGAGGGCTTCATACGCTGTGCCAGAGAGTCTGTGTGTGCTTCTGCAGACAGCGCACATACCGGCCAGTCCTCACAGAATGCATGTGTGGGGCAGAGATCCCTGCGGCTTGCAGAGAGGTCAGTAACTCGTCCAGTCGTGTCTGATGTCCTGTATCTAGCAGCACTGTGAGGGGCTGGCAGTGGCATAGCAGATTGATTATTTGCAGGGAAGAGAGACTAGACACAGTAGTCCCAAGTGTGCATGTTGATCCTTTTGCTAAGGTCCTCTTCAGCTCTCATGGGTGTCACAGCAAGAGATGCCAGCTGTATCTCCTGGCTGCTAGGCCAGTGGGCTGAAAGCTTTTTGTTCAGATTTGCCATTAGTAAAGACTTTTTGAGCATATACTCCATATACATACAACTTTGCAGGTGATATACTATTATTGTCCTAATGTTATATACATTTTAAACATTCAAAAACAGAAATGTTAAAAGGATGAGATAAAAATAAATACTAAAAAAGCTAGTCTTTTCCTCCTGTATCCCAGTGGCTCATGATGCTCATTTGGAGCAGAAGGACACACTCCAGCCAACTAGGCTGTCACTGGCCAGAAGTCAGGCAGGAGGGGACTGTCTTGGATTAGTGGTAAACAGGGTCCTTTCGTGAGCCCTAGCTCCTCAAACTAGTCCAGGCTGGATACTTGGAAGAGGCTCAAAGCCAGTTTTCTTCGAGGAAGCAAGGCTATTTTTCCTGCCTTGGGAAGTGGCAATCCCTCCTGGTGATTGGACCTTACAGTATTCCTGTTTTGTAAGATAACTGTCATCTCCCAGATTTTTACATCCAAATTTGCTCCAAGAAATTCAAGTCCTTTCTTATCTGGCCCCACAACAGCTCTGAGGAAGGAGACTGTGTTCACTTACCTAAGTTCAACCCCACCTACCCTGGCTCTTCTGGTAGCTCCCACTGTGATCCGAAACCAAAGGGTGAAAACCCCAGTGAACCTTTACATTTAAGAAATTTTAGTGTCTTTTATTACTGTCTAAATTGGAAGTCTTTTGTTGGTGTTATGAGCTCCTTTGAACACAACTAACTAATGTGTTTTAAAATCACATTTTAGAGTTTAGAATGCTCTCACATAGGCATGCCCCCGTACTGTAGTGACGTAGGCATTTTGTTCACCTTTGCGGGTGGCAAAGCTGAGGCTCAGCTTCAATGATGGATCCGAGCCTCTGGGTGGAGCTGGTTTCTGCCTTTGCTACCTGTCTGCTCTCCGTTACGCCACACAGCCTCTTTAGTAATTGACTACCAGATCTCACCAAGCACCTCTACTCAGTATTTACAGGGAATGCTCAGCTGTGTGGATCTATGCGGCTGTGCTTTGTCCCTGTAAACTTGAAGGGTTGAAACAAGGGTTGAAAGTTCAAACAAATACTTGGTCTAAAAACCAAGTATTTTGAAATTTGGGATTTTTATTGCTTTTAATTGTGAGTCTTACATGGTAGTTTGAATATGGTTTATTTTTTATTTTTTTTTGGAGACAGAGCCTTGCTCTGTCCCCCAGGCTGGAGTGCAGTGGCCCGATTTTGGCTTACTGCAACCTCTGCCTCCCAGGTTCAAGCGATTCTCTTGTCTCAGCGTCCTGAGTAGCTGGGATTACAGGCGCCCACCACTACGCCCGGCTAATTTTTGTATTTTCAGTAGAGACGGGGCTTAACCATGTTGGCCAGGCTGGTCTCAAACTTCTGACCTCAGGTGATCCGCCCGGCTCAGCCTCCCAAAGTGTTGGGATTACAGACATGAGCCAACATGCCTGGCCTGAATATGGTTTAATTGTGAGTACAGATACCTAGTGACAAATTTCAGTGACAATCCCAAACACCTATTGTACATCACAGATCCCATTTCCCCAGAGAACTGTGGAAACCAAGGTAAAGCCTTAGCTCTGCTACCAGTGTCAGGATCTTGTATATATGAGATTTTTGCCACTCTGTCTCCAAAAGATAGTGTGAAGAGAACCACAGTCTATGATCCCCTGCCTACTCTCTCTCCTTTCCCTGGACACAGGCGAGGGAAGGGCACACAGAGGTGGTAACACTGCTTTCTCTCCTCCATATCTAGACAAGTGTGGTTAACTACATTGACCAGAGGCCAGCTGCTGAAAAAAGTGCTCAGTTGTTTTTTGTGGTCTTTGAATGGAAAGATCCTTTCATCCAGAAAGTCCAAGATGTGAGTATTATTTAAGATTATGATAGCGAAACCCCTGCCCTGAAGCATTTTGGCTCATTCTTGTAGACTGATAAGTCTACCTACCTGTCCTCATCTTTTTTCATAGCACAAATCGCTTGTAATTTATATGTATGGCATCAGTGTTACGTATTCTTTGTGTTTGGTCTTGTCTTCATCACTAGACTTTCTCTGTAAAGGAGGGGGACTTTAATTTTGCTCATCATAGTTTATCTGGGATATAGTGGAGTGCTTAGCGCAGAGTAGCTGCTTAGTAGTAATGTTCATTGAATAAATTGAGTAGAAAGCATTAAGTTGCTACTATACAGGTTACTGCAGTTGCAAGTTATTCTTTTTCTTAATGGTTCTCTGTAGGATATATACTACTTGTAGTAAGAACAGAATGGTACAAATAATTAACAAAGCATTAATTAATGCCATATTTTTAAAAAATTGATAAATGTACATATTTATGTGGTACATGTAATATTTTGATAGATGCATACAAAGTCTAATGATCAAAAGTCAGGGTAGTTGGGTTACCCATCTTCTCAAACATTTTTAATTTCCTTGCATTGGGAACATTCTTCTAGCTATTTTGAAATATGTAATACATTCTTGTTAACTATAATTGCTCTACTGTACTATCATGTCATCTATCTTACTGTATTTTTGCACCTATTAACCAATTTCTCCTCATCTCTGCTTCCCCCAACCCCTCCCAGCCTCTGGTAACCACCATTTTACTCACTACCTCCATGGGACTCACTTTTTTTTAGCTCCCACATGAGTGAGAACGTGTGATATTTGTTTTTCTGTGCCTGGCTTATTTCACGTAACATAATGTTCTCCAGTTTCGTTCGTGTTGCTGCAAATGACAGGATTTCATTATTTAATGACTGAATAATATTCCATTGTGTATATATACCACATTTTCCTTATCCATTCATCCTAAGTGTTGATGGACACTTGAGTTGATTCCATATCTTGGCTGTTGTGAATAGTGCTACAGTAAACATGGGAGTGTGGACATCTCTTTGATACACTGATTTTCTTTCTTTCTTTTTTCTTTTCTTTTCTTTTTTGATTTCCTTTCTTTTGGATATGCACCCAGCAATGAGATTGCTGGATCATATGATAGTTCTAGTTTTAGCTTTTTGAGGAACCTCCATACTGTTTTTTCATAGTGACTTTAATAATGTAAATTATTACATTAGTCATAATGTAAATTATTACATTCCTACCAACAGTATACAAGCATTCCCCTTTTTCCACATCTTCACCATCATCTGTTCTTACTGTCTTTTTGCTAGTGGTCATTTTAACTGAGGGGAGGTGATATAACCTTATTTTGGATTTGGTTTGCATTTCCCTGATTGATTAGTGTTGTTGAGCATATTTTCATACGCCTTTTGGCCATTTGAATGTCATCTTTTGGGATAAATGGCTATTCAGATCTCTTGCCCATTTTAAAATTGGATTATTTGGCTTTTTTTTGCTGTTGAGTTGTTTGAGTTCCTTATATATTCTGGTTACTAATCCCTTGTTGGATGCATAGTTTGCAAATAATTTCTCTCGTTCTGTAGGTTATCTCTTAACTTTGTTGATTGTTTCCTTTGTTGTACAGAAGCTTTTTAGCTTAATGTAATCCCATTTTTCTGTTTTCGCCGTTGTTGCCTGTGCTTTTGAGGTCTTCCCAAAAACATCTTTGTCCAGACCAATGTCCTAAAGTATTATTCCAGTGTTTTCTTCTAGTTTTATAATTTCGAGTCTTAGATTTGAGTCTTTAATCCATTTTGAGTGGATTTTTTTATATAGTAAAAAATAGGGTCTAGTTTCATTCTTCTGCATATGGATATCCAATTTTCCCAGCATCATTTATTGAAGAGACTGTCCTTTCCCAATTGTATTTTCTTGGTGCCTTTGTCAAAAATAAGTTGGCTGCATATACATGGTTTTATTTCTAGATTCTGTGTTCTGTTCCATTGGTCTTATGTGTCTGTTTTTATGCCAATACCATGCTGCCTTGTTTACTATAACTTTGTAGTGTATTTTGAAGTCAGGTAGTGTGATGCCTTCAGCTTTGTTCTTTTTGCCCAGGATTGATTTAGCTATCCGGCATTTTTTGTAGTTCCATACAAAATTTAGGATTTTTTTTCTACTTCTGTAAAGAATGTCATTGGTATTTTATAGGAATTGCATTCAATCTGTAGATTGCTTTGGGTAGTGTGGACATTATACTAGTTCTTCCAATCCATGAACATAGGATATTTTTCCATTTTTTGTGTCCTGTTCAATTTTTTCGTCCCTATTTTACAGTTTTCATTATAGAGATTTTTTACTTCTTTGGTTAAATTTATTCCTAGGTATTTTATATTTTTAAAGCTATTGTAAATGGGATTGCTCTATTTTTTATTTTATTCTTGCATTGCTATAAGTTTTTTAGATTGTTTGCTGTTAGCATATAGAAATATTCCTGATTTGGGTGTGTTGATTTTGTATCCTGTGACTTTACTGAATTTATCAGTTCTGCCAGTTTTTTGGTGGAGTGTTTAGGTTTTTCAAAGTATAAGATCATGTCATCCGCAAACAAAGACAGTTTGACTTGTTTTCAATTCGGATGCCCTTTATTTCTTTCTCTTGTCTAATTGCTCTGGCTAGGACTTCCAGTATTATGTTGAACAAAAATAATGAAAGTAGGCATCCTTGTCTTGTTCCAGATCTTAGAAGAAAGACTTTCAGTTTTTCCCCATATGATGTTAGCTTTGGGTTTGTCATGTATGGTCTTTATTGTTTTTAGGTATGTTCCTTCTATACTCGGTTTGTTGAGATTTTTTTTTTTTGGACACAATTTCATTCTGTCTCCCAGGCTGGAGTGCAGTGGCATGATCTCAGCTCACTACAACCCCTGCCTCCCAGGTTCCAATGATTCTTGTGCTTCAGCCTCCTGAGTAGCTGGGATTACAGGTGCACATCACCATGCCCAGCTAATTTTTGTATTTTTAGTGGAGGTGAGGTTTCGCCATGTCAGCCAGGCTGGTCTCAAACTCCTGACCTCAAGTGATCTGCCCGCCTCGGCCTCCCAAAGTGTTGGGATTACAGGAGTGAGCCACCGTATCTGGCACATTGAGAGTTTTTATCATGACAGTATGTTGAATTTTATTAAATGCTTTTTTACCATCTATTGAAATGATTACACGATTTTTGTTCTTGATTCTGTTAATGTGATGTGTTACATTTATTGATTTGCATATGTTGAATCATCCTTGCATCTCTGGGATGAATCCCACTTGATCATAGTGAATGATCTTTTTAATGTATTATTGAATTTGGTGGACTGATATTTTGTTGAGGACTTTTGCATCTGTGTTCATCAGGGTATTGGCCTGTGGTTTTCATTTTTTGTTGTGTCTTTGTATCAGGGTAATGCTGGCCTTGCAGAATGAGTTTGGAAATATTCTTCAATTTTTTGGAATAGTTTGAGTAGAATTGCTATTAATTTTTTTTTAATGTTAGATAGAATTTAGCAATGAAGCCATCAGGTGCTGGGCTTTTCTTTTGTCACTGCCTCTATCTTGTTACTCATATTGGTCTATTCAGGTTTTCTGTTTCTTCATGGTTCAATCTTGGTAGACTCTGTATCCAGGAATTTTTCCACTTCTTTTAGGTTTTCCTTTATTGGCATATAGTTTTTCATTAAGTCTCTAATGATCCTTTGTATTACTGTGGCATCAATTGTAATGTCTTTTATTTTGGTCTGATTTTATTTATTTGGGTCTTCATTCTATTTTTCTTAGTCTAGCTGAAGGTTTATTGATTTTGCTTAACTTTTCAAACAACTAACGTTTCTTTTTTTTTTTCTAAAACGGCGTCTTGTTCTATCACCAGGCTGGAGTGCAGTAGCGCAATCTTGGCTCACTGCAACCTCTGCCTCCTGGGTTTAAACGATTCTCCTGCCTCAGCCTCCCGAATAGCTGGGATTACAGGCACCCGCCACCATACCCGGCCAATTTTTGTATTTTTAGTAGAGACAAGATTTCACCATTTTGGCCAGGATGGTCTTGATCTCTTGACCTTGTGATCTGCCCGCCTTGGCCTCCCAACATGTTGGGATTACAGGTGTGAGCCCCTGGCCTGGCGTCAAACAGCTAACTTTTCATTTAAGTTTCAGTTTCATTTATTTCTGCTCTGATCATTATTATTCTGGTAAATTTGGGTTTGGTTTGTTCTTTTCTAGTTCTTTGAAGTGATCATTAGCTTATTTGAAATCTCTACTTTTTTTGATGTAGGCATTTATTATAAACTTCCCTCTTAGTACTGCTTTTGCTGTATCTCATAGGCTTTGGTATATTGTTTCCATTTTCATTTGTTTGATAAATTTTAAAATTTCTTTCTTAATTTCTTCATTGACCTTTGGTCACTACGGAGCATCATGTTTAATTTCCATGTATTTGTACAGTTTCCAAAATTCCTCATTATTGATTTCTGGTTTTATTCCATTGTGGTCAGACAAGATACTTAATATGCTTTTGATTTTTCTGAATTAGTTGAGACTTGTTTTGTGGCCCAACATATGGTCTCCCCTGGAGAATGTTCCATGTGCTGATGAGAAAAATGTGTATGCTGTAGCAGTTGGAGTTTTGAGATGGAATCTTGCTCTGTTGCCCGGGCTGGAGTGCAATGGCACGAACTTGGCTCACTGGAAGCTCTGCCTCCCGGGTTCACGACATTCTCCTGCTTCAGCCTCCCGAGTAGCTGGGACTACAGGCACCTGCCATCATGCCTGGCTAATTTTTTTTGTATTTTTTAGTAGAGACAGGGTTTCACCGTGTTAACCAGGGTGGTCTCAATCTCCTGACCTCACGATCTGCCTGCCTTAGTCTCCCAAAGTGCTGGGATTACAGGCGTGAGCCACCGCTTCTGGCCGGATGAAACGTTTTGTAAATGTCAGTTAGGTCCATTTGGTCTGGAGTATAGTTTAAATGCAATGTTTGTTGATTTTC